AACAACAAAGAGACAACCTAAACTCAAAGCACAACAACAAAACACAAAGTAACCTACTATAAAGCCACCAGCCTAACCTTGGAAATGACACCTCTACTGCCCTAAATAAAAGGCAAAACTAGAGAGAGAACGAGACATAAAACTAAATAAACCACTATCAACCCAAGGGAGAAGAGAAAAAAGAAAAGGAAACTTGAACAAACTTCCCTTTCCTAATGAAGTTGAGGGTGCAAGTCTATTTTCATGAGAATTAGTCCCGTTTTTTCTTCTTGAGTGCTACTTCATTTCTGTCTCTAAATTGTTATTCTTCTATTTTTGGGCTGCATTCAATTGGTTGAGATAGTTCCCATATTCTCTAGTGTTCCTCATCCTTTGCAGATATGTGGATTTGATCCTACACTTTTATGCTGGTGTAGGTGCCATTTGGCAAGTCTTTTTAGAAACATCTTCCAGCAACCAAGATAGTCAAAAGACATATTGATCCTTTGGGGTTTTGTCTTTAAAGACAAAGACCATTTACTAAGCGGCTTGGTCTACCGGGCTTTTAAAAATGTGTTTAGAGGTTATATATCATGCAAAAGGCCAAAAAGCTTCATTTGAAGCTTCCCAAAAGACACAGAAAGCTTCAAATGAAGCTCTTTGCATCTTTTGTGTTTTATTCTCGCATGAAAAGACACTGAAAGATGTGTATATGACAAACTAGCTTCGGGCTACTCAGATCTTCATGCAAAACCTCAATGCATCTTTTGAATGTCAGAGCTACTAGAAGATCTTCCCAAAAAGACTTGCCAAATGCCATTATAATTATTCATGTTTGCTAATTTCAATCTTCCCGTACATTTTCTCACATTCAAAACTTCCATTTCATCTTACATGTACTTGGAACACTTGACATCTTGCACTAATAAAAGTCCATTGAAATCAAGAATAAGAGTAAGAAAGCATTTTTTTTCCATTTAGGGTCCATTTGATTTGTAGCCATAATCAAAATTGGAATGGTATGTTCCTCCCACCTGTTTGGTTCAGATGAGAATTGAAACTAGAATCAGAATCAGCTTGAATGGGTTCTCATTTCCCAAGGGAATGGCCAATCCCTCAAATTTGGGAAATGCCATCCACCAAAAATGGGTATAGGATTCCGATTCCTCCCAACCAAACAATTAGAATCTGAATGGACCATTCTGATTCCAAACCATTATTAATAGACCTTTGAATTTTCCCAAAAAATATTGGAGAAATGCAAAATACATTAAAAAAATTCTATTTTTTGATAATATGGAAAAATAGAGATAACACAAATAAAATATTTAATTTAGTAGTTAAAATTTATGAATTGCATATGATAATATCCCATCTTAGAAATTCCAATGGATCTGATATTTTAAATTAAGATTATATATTTTTGTAAATTATTAGTTAATAATTTAATTTACAATAAATAACAACATACCGATTATTTACATAAATAAAAAATATTATACTTGACTTTTATAGTTTATAAAATTAAAAAGAATAAAATATAAAAGCATCGATTTAGTAATTAAAATATAACAATTGCCCTTTGATTTGTGTCCTGGACTCTTTGATTTATAGATCATATACAAAAGCCTGATCTTGTACATTTTCATGGGTCTTATATATCTTTAAATTAATTATATAATACATTGTCTTATGCATTAAATTATTGTACGATATCTACATGTTGCAACACTCCAAACAAGGTTCATAATATCAAAATGTATTGGTGTATGTTGTACAATATGTATCGCTTTACAAATATGTAGAGTGCAAAACCTTGAATTTTGGTTGTATTTGTACTTGTACTCCTTTCAAACTAGACCTAAAAAAACATCACTTTTTTTGGAAAGGCCTCAAACTAGACCATACTCAGAAGCTTGTATGTTATAACAATTTTATGAACTTTGGGGGTTTTGGGTCATTGTGCAACCCATTTGATGACATCATGTATCTGTTTCTTTTAATTTGTTCTCTTTGAGGAAAAAACATTGTTACTGGATTTAAATAGATTGGACGGTCCAGACATTGAATTGGACCTGTTTAAATTTATTCAAAACATTCATTGGATTGGATTGGACCTAGTCTATTTATAATGGACTCACATTGGACTGGATGGGATTGGACCGACTCTCCACTAATTCCTAACAAGATTACAAAAGCAAGAAATGAATGAATCAAAATCCTCTACTAAAAAAGAGTACACCTGTCATGAGAGCTGCGCTTGATTGAATTTTTCCTGTGGAACAATGGAAGTTGATGAATTTGTCATATACGTTGACATGACCATCTGTGCATCGAATTTCTCCAATTCCTGACTCTTCTGGGTATAACTAGAGTTCTTTTAGAGAAACAAAACCTGCATATCCAAGATCATGAAGAATCGGACTCAGAGCTCATACCACAAAAGCCATCCTAAAAATATACCCTGTACTTTCTATTTTAATATGCCCTATACTCTTTGGTTCTTCTAGACAAAGGCGATGGTAAAACTGAGTAAAGCCGTAAAGGTTTTTGACTGACATTATTCTTCCAACCTTTCAATTTTTAATTCAGAAAAATGCCCTCCAAAAGTTGGTTTACTTTAAACCATGGTTTTCAAAACCGGACTGGACCGGAAAAACTGGGAATCGGTCACCTGATCAGTTCCATTTTTTCCCAAACCACTTTTTTTTTTCTAAAATCGTTGATTTTGGTCAACAAACTGCTTAACTGGCCGGTTAACTGTTCGAATGGTTTTGACCATTTTTTAATTTTTTTAATTTTTTAATTTTTTTTGTCAGAACGGGCCGATCGTTCGGGTAGAATAGTCAGACTGTTCGAACCGATAACTAGACCCTTGACCGGTTCAGTCACCAATTCAGTTTTAAAAACCATGCTTTAAACACTTAGATGGGCTTTTGGACTCAAGCTTCCATCCCCATGAAGAGGGAAGCTTTGAGGCATTAAATCATGTTACCCCATGAAAAATTCCTAATCCATTCTGTAGCATCCAAAAATCGGTCCAGACAAGGTTCTAGTTCCATTTTGATTTAAAACAATACACCAAAACTTTTTTACCTTTCAACAGAGCTCATCAAACTGGTATAGTTTCTCCTCTTAGCTCTTTTCTAACCAACTTGAGGATCTCCAGAATCTGAGGCAAATAAAAGAAAAACGTGATAAATAATAGGATTTCTACCTAGATATAACCTAATACAAAACAGAATTTATAGGAATGTACTAGACGGAGAGATGATATATAGCATGAGCATGCTTATATAAACATGTATTGGCTGTTTTCATACTAATTAAAACCGAAAAGAAAAAATCTTTTTGCTAGTGTGAGCTTGTCTTATACTGCCAGTCCCAAATAAATGAGGGTTTGTGTTAGGTTTTGGCAGCTGGCACTAAGACTTGTACTCTTTCTGTGTTCATGCAAAGAGTGTCCTCCGAAAATAACGTGCTACACCTTAACCTCATTATAGAGTCAAATGGGTAAGGGTGTGCTAGGATAGTCCCTGGAAGTGACCCACCACAACACCACCCAACTATGGTGTTAAATAGGCAAGGTTACCTGCATCATTTTGGCACCCATAATGGAAGAATTGATATGGTATTAAACAAAATAGAATGGCAAAACAGGATTCATGTAAAATTTCAAAGTCATTGCATAAGTAGGATTAGAGTTATTGAGTCTTCTTTGATTTGAAATAGGATATGACAGTTTAGTTTGAGTCCTACTAGAATCATTGAATTTAATACTTTGGCTCCTAAGACTATTATGAGTCTAACAGTTTGATTCCTAGGATTATTATGAGTTTAGAGTCTATAAATATGTATGGACGTTTTACACAAGGGCAATGAAATTTATTGAGTTTTCTTCAACTTATGCTAGCTGTGGTGAGTGATTCCCATGCCCTAGAATGATTCTAGGTACCCTGTGAGTGATTCCATGTATTTTTTTCTCCTTTCTTAACAAGACATTACAACCATCAACATTCATAAAACTCTAATCAAGAAGACCATTCAACATTCTTTAAGGATTAGAACTGAGCTCGTCCTACATCAGCTTGTATTAGAACCAAGGTTATAGGCTGTTATCATCATGGCTACACGTAGTGGCAAGGGGTCAAATGACTAATACACGAAGAGATTTATTGATTTCTACCCTTTGCAAGAGAGTTGGAACCCTTGAAGCACAAGTAAAAGAACTTCAAGAAGCTACAGAAGAAGAAATCCAACAAGTAGCACCCTTAATCAATGAAAGGGATGGAACAAAACAACGGAGCTGTTCATGAAGATGATAATGGTGAAGATGAAGGATCTGTTAATCTTAGAGGATGACAAAAAGTTACAAAGTGCACAAGGGTACCACCTGTACAAGCTAATCGAGCCCAAAATACCCAGCAAGAGATTGATCAAGAAGCATCACTCACAAATCTTTTTGATGAGATGATGGAAAAAGCTGAACATGGTGGTTATGCAAATGATATAACTGAGAAGGTAAAGGTGGATGTTTATGATTTCAATGGAGATTTAGGTGGTGTTCCATAGTGTGGATACACCATAAGATATTACATTTTCAAACACACCACCCCAAAACTAGTGGTTTAGTTGCACTGTGATGTGCGCTAAACCACACTATATCATGGATCGGTCTACACCACAGGGCAAAATACCGTCCATGGTTATTTCTCGTGGATAGTCCATTGCTACCATGAACATTTATCTCTGATCTGTTTCCATGCTTCGCACTACTCTATAGCGTGTCTTCCCATGCTTTGCACTACTCTCAACATATTACCTTTGCAATTAGGGCCCGCCATTGTGAAGCTCACGTCTACTACCTCTCTATCTCACGTCGGTCACTATTTCTACTCCGAACACCACTACATCATTGGACTGTCAGATGTAAGTGATTTATCTCCATTTTTCACTACTTGATTTTCTATCAGTACTTCCTAGCCACCAGTCACTTCTTCATATGTCTTGAACAAGGACTTGTCTTTGCAAACATGAACTATGGTGCCTAAATCAAACCACCATATAGAAGACGTTTCTGCCATATTGATTTCAGTAATCATGACCACTAGATTGTCTTCCACCATGTTTACAGACTTGGTTCCACCTTTCTGACGTCGACATAATTGAACATAGTGCCCATTCTTTCCACAAACATAATATGATAAATGCCGCTAGAAATATTGATATGTAGTCGTCCCTCTCTTGTTCAGTCGTCTCTCACTCTCTCTCTCTCATTTGTCTCTCTCTCGCTCTCTCTCTTGCTCTATCAAGGGAGTGTTTTATCTTTGTCAAAAGAGTGTTCTTAGGTAAAGACCATGCTTCTCCGGGCCTTCTTCTCGGATTAGAAGCTTTCTCTAGAGTTTTGAGGTAAGGCCAGTTCTTCGAAAAATAAATGAATTCTAGGTTTTATTTTTGTTTCTTTTTTACCTTTGTTTTGGCCCTGATCGCCAATCATTTGCCTTTTCTGACCTTTATCAGTATTTTGATTTTTTTTTTTCAATTTTCTGTTTGTTTTCTTAGCATGATAGAATCTAGCTCATTTCCTGAACTTATAGATTTAGGGTTTGTATCGTTCATTTGATACTTCTTCCACTTATAAGAAGTTAATAATATTTGTTTTAGTTCTGATATTTAAGCAGCGTACGTATGAAATTTTAGCTCTGCTGTATATTTGCTATTCGACGCTTTTTGTTCTTGCTTAGACTCTATTCGACTCTAAATCTTCTGATGTAGATCTGCTAAATTTTTAGTTGAAATAACTTGAGATATCGATTATAGATTGACCAAAGTATTTTCATTATAAGAAAGAATAACTTGATGTACTTTATAACTTGATATTGTCATCATTTTCCAAATACCTTTTGTCATTAGTTTTTTTTGGTAGGTTTTACCTTGAGATCTGCGGAATTGGTCGTGAAGAAGTACTAAAGGTTGGACAAGGCTCCACCTTGAGATTCTCATTATAAGAAAGCAGTTATTTTTGGTAGGTTTCCAAATAACTTAAAAATCAATCTTAATATTTAGAATTATGAAATTGCCATCAGTTTTTAGTTTCAGACTTCTAGGTATGGGTAGTAACTGGAAAATTGTCAAGATATGAATCAGGCCTCATTGGAAATTTAGGATAGGTTGTTTTGCTTGATAAAGTAGTATATATATACAATTCATTTTGATTAATTATAAAAAACAATGTATTATACAAAGGTTTAGTAAGAACAAATCGAGATCCTCAAACCATTTTCTAATGCATATGATTACTCAAATTGGATATGGAGGCAATACTTTGTTAAAAGCTGGTGTTCATCTTAAAAGTAATGGTTGCTTCTATTGTCATTTGTCAGTAGCATGGATGTGTGGGTATGAGCAAACCAGCTATAGCTAAATGTTTTAAAAGAACATCAAGTATTTTGATCAAGTTAAAGTTGAAGAAGACAACTAAGAAAAACATATGGGATCACAACACAAGCCTGCAGGGATGATCACTAGGGATGGCAATTTTACGAGAATTTTCAGGTATCTGACCCGTCCTGACCCTAATAAGACCCGTTTATCAAAACCTTATAGGGTTTGGGATTTTAGATTAAAACCCTATAGGGTTTGGGTTTTGACTTTAGGGTATCCGATACCCGATACTCGGGATGCATAGATATGAATCTATTATATTATATATCATGCACAAATTTATAAATTTTAAGAATTAAGATAATTATTCTATTATTAATATTTTATTTCTATAAATTTCTTAGGATTAAACTCATCATTTGATGTAAATTTGGATTTGATAGATTTTTTATTTCATTTAGTTATAAAATTCAATTTTTAAATATTATTTTTTTTAATTTTTAGTTGAAATTGTTAACCATATAAATGTATTGATTGTTATGATGAACACAAAAGTTAATAAAATCTATTTTATTCCATTAAATAACATAAAAGGTGAAATGGCTTAGTGGCTTAAAGTAGTGTTAAGAGATTTTGTGCGACGGGTTCGGGAATGGATAGGGAAATTTGCACTATATTAGCTAGATAATGGATCAGTGTTTTAAAAGCGTAAGGTGCACCTTTTTGAAGCAAGGCACAAAAATACAAAAAAATGCTAAAAAATAAAAAAAAAATGTCAAAAAACTCAAAAAAAAGCCAAAAAAATTTAAAATATATTAATAAAAAATATAAACTTAAATTTTAAAATAATGTTTTAAAAAACCTATTATCTAAAATTAAAATAAATAAACATAAGATTTAAAGCATATTCAAATGAGAATTTAAAAATAAAATCAAACATATAAAACATTTTCAAGCATGTAAAACCTCTATTCTCTTTTTTTCATTCAATTGCATTACTTCGAGTAGCTAATGTAATGTAAAACATATTACATTCCTAGTTCTACGAGCCACCTTTGTGCCACGCCCCTCGAGGCAAGCCCAAACAAGTCCATGTTAGGTCTTAAATTCTTAGTTTTCACATAAAAAATAATGATTTTATAGTTTTAATTGCTTTTTAAGAAGACATTTTATTAAGATAAATGAATGAAGGTTTGCACATGGTTGAGGCGTGAAAAGGCTGTGCTTAGGACCTAGGCAAGGCGCATACCCTAAAATGCGCCTCGCCTGTGCGCCTAGGCGTGCCTTTTAAATCACTGTAATGGATATAATTTGGATGTATCCACCCCTGAGTGATAAACACATTAAGTACTCTATTTAGAAAGATGGGGCATACCTGAAGGGTCAAAGCACTGGTGTGTTTAGTGAACAAGAAATTGGTCAAGTTTACACAATATGCCAGTGCAGAATTGAAGAGAAGATACCTGATAATCCTAATATCATCCCTTGCAAGTGCCAGCATGATTCCAACCACATTTTCCTCCATCAGAAGAGTTGCAGGAAGAAGGAACAGAACAACTGTTGGAGCCATGTAAAGAAGGAGGTTCATAGAATTCAATTTTTCCCTATACAATGATAACAACACTTCAGTCAAGTTCTCCAATTTCAGAATACCTGGCATGTAACTAAAAGCCTCAAGCCCTTGAATTTAATTAGAAATGTATATATAATTCATTACCCTTCGGAAGAGAGCAAAATTCCTTGAAGAACTATTTTGAGTGCTCTCGTAGCTATGGCACCAACACATATTATGAACCCATATAGGTGGAAGCTTGGTTCACCCTACAGTCATGTCATAAGAAAGAGGTCATGATAAAGGAGAGTCAATGGGTTGGCCTCTTTTGATGGTCATGATAAAGGAAAGAGGATTAGCTTTTAAGAAACAACACAAAAAGAAAGCCATTAGATTTGATAAAAGGAAGGAAAAAGTTGGGAATTATCTTGTTTAAAGTTAGTCATTTTTTGAACTGGTTTAATATAATGCCTTCCATATGCAGGCCCCACAAACAAGTTCTTCCATCCTACAGCAACTCCCCAAGTTACGCCAGCAACCTCAGCTCCGTGAGTTTTTCATTTACTTTCTATTGCATTCGATTGGCCTTTGGACCATTATACTTTATATGTTGTTGGTTAACTTTCTTCATTTGGTAGGTCACCATTAGTTCCTCTACCAGGCAGCTACCCCTGCTTCTACTACTGTCCCGTGAGCTCTCTTCTTTGTCTTACATACATATTTCTGTAGGACATGTATATTTTCCTTATGTATATATATTAATATAAACATGTATTTCAATATTGCAGTGGATCCATTTTGCGATCAAATTCTGATTGCCTTAATCAGATTCCACTTAGAACCTGAACAAACAAGTACAAGTTGCAGCTCTATGTCCATTTACATTAACATTAACAATAGGAATGGATCTCTGACTCGTGTATGTTTCTTTATAGGGGGTTGGGTTCAGCGTCAATGAATTGATAATAAATCTTGGGCCTTGGGGGTCCTTGTTTGTTTTCCTGTGAATGTCTATGTGCATTGGTCCTTCATCCTTGACATGAAGGAAGCTTGCCTAACTCAGGGCTTTTCAAGGAAGCCTGCCTCCTGAAACGAGAAAGAGAGAGAGAGAGAGAGAGAGAGGAGAGAGAGAGAGAGAGAGAGAGAGAGACTGAATTCCCAAAATCAATCCCTCCTCTTCTGGCTTCCTTCCCTTATTTATAACACTTCCGTTACAATTCTGTTATATCAACCTCTCCACTTGTCTAGTTTGTTCGAGTGGTTGAATGTTAGTTACATTACTTAAAGGCTGACGTGGCCTTTTCTTGTACACTTGTCCCTCTGTTCCCCTTATTTGTGTCTTAACAGTCCCTCCTCCCTTGAAAGCGACCTTGCCCTCAAGGTCAAGATGTGGAAATCTATTCTGTAAGTCCAAGTAAGGTTCCCAAGTTGCATTTTCAAGTAGGAGACCTGACCATACCACCAATGCCTCTGGTTCGATGTAATGCCCTTTGCGTATCCACCTGAAATCTGTTATCTGGGTAGGCTTAGTTTGAACTTGACCATCTTCTGAGAATGATGGGAGGGTTGTTGTTGTTATTGCTCCTGTTTTTGGCCATTTCTTTAATAGAGATACATGAAATACAGGGTGCAATTTTGATGTTGTTGGAAGGTCAAGCCTATATGCCACAAACCCAATGCGTTCCACAATCCGAAATGGGCTGAAGTACCTTGGGCTCAGTTTGTTCTACCCGTGGCCTGCTACTGAAACTTGCTTGTATGGCTGTAGTTTAAGGAAGACTTGCTCCCCAACCTGGTGCTGGATGGGCCTATGCTTTCTGTTGTAAGAGTCTGCCATCCATTGTTGGGCTCGACGGAGGTGGGATTTGAGCTCTTGTAACACCCTATCTCGCTGGAGGAGTTGGTCTTCCACTGCTGCTACTACTATAGACCCTTTCTCATATGGGAGTAGGGGAGGTGGGTCCCGTCCATATAGAGCCCGGAAGAGAGTCATTCCTGTTGCACTGTGATACGTGGTATTTTACCACCATTCCGCCCAATGAAGCCACTTGAGCCATTGACGTGGCCTACCCCCTACATAGCACCTTAGATAGGTTTCCAAACTCCGGTTGACCACCTCAATTTTCCCATCTGTTTGAGGATGGTAGCTGGTAGATTTGAAGAGTTTCACTCCCTTTAGTCGAAAAAGTTCTGCCCAGAAATGACTCATAAAAATTGGGTCACGGTTTGAGACAATAGAGTTAGGGGTACTGTGCAGTCGTGCCACCTCCTTAGTAAAAATCTCAGCCACCATTGAAACGGTAAAGGGGTGGGAAAGAGGGAGAAAATGGCAGTATTTTTGTGAATCTATCAACAACCACGAGAATGACAGACTTGCCATGGGGCAGGGAAGCCCCGTTATGAAGTCCATGGATATATCTGCCCACACTTGTGTAGGAATTGGGAGTGGTTTTAGCAGACCTGCTGGACACTGGGTATCAGCCTTATTTTTTTGGCAAATGACACATTCAGCTATGAATTTTTGGACCAAATTCCGTATGCCTTTCCAATGGAATTGAGTGGCTAGCCTCTTGTAAGTGTGCAAAATCCCTGAGTGTCTTCCTGCTGGTGATGAGTGGAACACTTCAAGAAGATGCTGAATATGGACTAAATCCTGTGGTATCACCATTCGACGTTTATATAACAACAAGTTATTCTCCACTATGTACCCTGGGTGGCTAGTAGGGTCCTCTTGGACCTGTGAACGCAGTTTGCTCAGTTGTGGGTGTCTTTCAACTTCTTCCCTTAACTGAATCATGATGGAACACGTTAGGCCCATAAGAAGTAATGGAAATAGTTGTGGTTGGCGTGACAGCGCATCTGCCACCTTGTTAGTGTGCCCTTCCTTGTATTCAATGACATAATCGTAGCTGAGTAATTTGGCTATCCATCACTGCTGTTTCGAGGATAATACTGACTGCTCCAATAGAAATTTTAGGCTATGGTGGTCAGTTTGTATGATGAACCTCCTCCCTAGAAGGTAGGGTCGCCACCGTTGAACTGCGAGAACAATTGCTATCAGTTCTCGTTCGTATACTGACTTGGCCCATTTTTGTGCTTTCAATGCTTTGCTGAAAAATGCTAGTAGCCTTCCTTCTTGCATGAGAACCGCACCCACTCCTTGGCTTGACGCATCACATTCAATGATGAAGTCCTTTGAGAAATCTGGAAGTGCGACGTTGGTGGGGACGAGACAGTTGTTTTGAGCATTTCAAAGGCCTGTTGGGCCTCCCTAGTCCGGTAGAACCCACTCTTCTTAAGTAAACTTGTCAAGGGGGCAGAAATCAGTCCATACCCTCTGATGAATCGCTGGTAGTATCCTGTTAGACCCAAGAAGCTCTGTAACTCCTTAACATTTTGAGGTTGGGGCCAATTTTTCATGCTTGATATCTTTTCCGGGTCTACTGCTACAATGCCATTTTCGACTACGTGCCCTAAGTAGTGTACTTGAGTGTCCGAATGCGCACTTTGACTCCTTTGCAAAGAGTTTATGAGTCCTTAGTTGTTCCAAGGTGATTTGTAGATGCACTAGGTGTTCGTCCCATATAGCGCTATATACAAGTATATCATAAAAAAAAATTAGTATAAATTTGTGCAAATGGGGTCGAAATATGTCATTCATAAGTGCTTGGAACATAGTTGGCGCATTGGTCAACCCAAACGGCATGACCAAAAACTCATAATGCCCCTCGCGTGTACAAAAGGCGGTCTTGTGGATGTCACCCTCATGGACTCGAATTTGATGATATCCTAATCTCAAGTCTAGTTTAGAGAATATTGTGGTCCGACCAAGTTCATCTAGTAGTTTATCGATTGCTGGTATGGGTAATCGATCCTTCATAGTAATGTTGTTCAAGGCCCTATAATCTATACAAAACCTCCATGTCCCATCCTTCTTTTTCACAAGTAATACCGGCAAGGAGAATGAGCTATGGCTGGGTTGTATAATTTTTTTATCAAGCAGATCTTGCACTTGTCTCTCAATCTCTAGTTTCTAAAAATAGGGGTAACGATAGGGCCTTACATTTGTGGCTGTCGTTCTGGGCAGCAATGGAATGCAATGATCATGGGCACATTCTGGTGGTAGTTCCTTAGGTTCTTGGAAGATCACTGAAAACTTCTGAAGTAACTACTGTAGTTGTATGCGGGCTTCTTCAGATCTGCTGGAGTTACTTCCTTGGGCTAGAATTGGGCCATTCCCATCGGAGTCTATCTACATTAAAATGATGTGGGTTGGGTTTGCTACCTGTTTTCTTAGGGTGGCAAGACTAATGGGTCCTGGATCCTTGGACACATGTCCTTGAATATGCACCTGCGAGTTGCCCACTTGAAAGTCCATTGTGAGACGGGCCCAGTCACATATCACCGGCCCTAGTTGCCTTAACCATTGGACTCCGAGAACTACATCTGCTCCACTGATTTCCAAGGGATGTAGATCTACCTCGAACTCGTGTCCTTGTATCTTCAGTTTTAATCCTGTGCATGTACTATCGCACACCAGAATGCTCCCATTAGCTACATGCACCCGGAATGCTGTACATGGTTGGATCGGAATCCCTAGTTGTCTGACCAATGTTTGAGTAATGAAATTGAGAGTGCTGCTACTGTCTATAAGAACTGATACATGGTGCCCTTGTACCAGTCCAGTTACTCTCATAGTTTGAGAGGAGGCAAGACCAGTCAAGGCTTGCAGAGATACTTCTGGATATTCTTTTGTCCATTGCCCCTATTCTTGGTTGTCCACTGGCTTATCAATGTTTGCTGATTCCCTGACGTTTTCGGTTTCGGGATGAAGGAAGAATACTTGTGGGATCTTACAGTGATGGCCAGATCCAAATTTGTCTCCACATGCATAACAAAGGCCCTTTTCTCGTCGGGCTTGCATCTCAGCCTAGGTTAACCTCTTGGCTGAACTAGAGTTGGCTTCCATGCTTGTGATTCCTACTCATGGTCTGGACTCCGGTTTACCCAAGATACCCGGTTCTGGATTCGATATACCTGGTCTGACCACAACTCCCAGGGGTCGATTAATCCTTCTTGCCCGATTCAGTTTGTCTTCATGGAGTCGAGCTAAGGCTGTTGCGTCAAGAACGGTGGTGGGTTGCATGGCTTTAACCTCCAGCCATAGTTCTTCCCTGAGTCCACCAACAAAATTGCCGACCAGTGCGTTTTCTGGCCACCCTTGCACACGCACAGCTAACCTTTCGAACACCATCTGATAATCTTGGAAAGAGCCAGTCTGTCGTAGCTTAGCGAGGCTTTCATCATAGTTTTCAAAAGTCGAGACTCCAAATCTCATGGTTAAGGCATCGGTGAAGTCCGCCCATGTGGCTCTTGGGTGCTGTCACCGGTACCACTGGTACTAGACGACGCCTCTCCTTCCAAGTGTGTGGAAATTAGTGGAACACGATCAGGTCCAGGCATATCATGGTAATCGAAGTACCTTTCGATTCCTAGAAGCTAGGACATGGGATCCCCCCCTACGAAGCACCTTTCCTGATCCACTTCAATGACTGGTGTCACCCAAGCACCTTCCCGATTTGGAACTGGTGGTGTCTGTTCCAGTCACCCAAGCAAGGACGCGAAGCTCTCCTTTATTTCTTTAGTGTCAGCTGATAATCATTGCATTTCTCCTTCCATGTTGTCAACCCTGTTCTCCATCGCGGATGACCTTATGCTCGGCATCTCGGCTCTGATACCAGCTTGTTAGGTAACTACCTAACTTAGGGCTTTTCGAGGAAGCCTGCCTCCTGAAACGAGAGAGAGAGAGAGAGAGAGACTGAATTCCCAAAATCAATCCCTCCTCTTCTAGCTTCCTTCCCATATTTATAACACTTCCGTTACAATTCTGTTATATTAGCCTCTCCACTTGTCCAGTTTGTTATTTAGTTTGTTCGAGTGGTTGGCTGTCAGTTACATTACTTAAAGGCTGATCTGGCCTTTTCTTGTACACTTGTCCCTCTGTTCCCCTTATTTGTGTCTTAACAAGGTCTAACATGTATATTTCATGCAATGAGAAATAAATCTGTAAAAGTTAGGATAGGTTATATGGAAAAAGGAGGGGGGGGGGGAGTAAGCAAGAGTATGAAGCAAAAAATAGACATTTTCTAACCACAGACAAACTTTACTGGGTTTATCACTTCACATGACCAAAGAGAGAGAGAGAGGAGGGGGGAGGGAGAGAAGTATTTAACGAAGCCTTGGAGATATGACAAATTGAGAACAAATACTTCTTTGAATTTATACCAATACTTTGGTGTGTAGTTATATACTGCAACTATATAGAAGTATACAATTGAACTAAATAAATCATTTCTCAACTACTTGAGGTTAGGAGTAGTTAATACTGTTTTGCCATTCCATTCCATCAAGTTCTTGTCTCGGTTAACCTATAGGTCCTCAGATGTTTCATCAGTACATCAACCCACAAGTGTTTTAGTCTCCTCTAACCTCTCCTTTAGAGCCTCAAGTTAGATGTGGTCATTTTACTACTGTTTGTAGGTTTCCTGCCTCTTTAACCCTCAAGTTGTATCGGGTCTTCTTACTGCTGTTTGAAGGTCAATAATAGAATTGAAGGAATGAGAGATCCATCATATGGATGGCCAAACCCTACAGGAAGGTTGGGCGAAATTTCAAAAATTTCTCTCTTTCCCATCTGGGAATCGCATTCCCTGTTTTAGAAAACTGCATTTTCAAGGGTCAATCTTGAACCAAACCGGACCAGATCTGAAACCAAAAGGGAGGAGAGGGATATACCTGATACGGAGTAACAATAACTTCTAATGAAGGTGTTCAGCCCAATGAGAAAACAAAAAACTGTTTCCACTGAAGATGACACAGTGAGAGGTGAAGCAAAATTAACAGGACGACTCTTCAGCAAGAACCGAATTCTTCAGCAAGAATGGGGTAGAGGGATGGTGAGCATGACTTCAGATTGCTTCTTCTACCAAGAAGCAATATCAAGAATAATTCTTGATCACTTTCATTAAGTGAAGATCGAACTGGGTAGGGGTGGCAAGAACAAGGAAGAAATCTGCAGACTGTTGTAATGTCTGTTGTGTCTTTTGCATGTCCGCCCTGCTTTCTTATTTATAGCCTTAAAGAGACAACCTCCTAATCTAATTAGGAGTTTCCTAATCCAAATCTTTATTTGGATCTGGACTCTTTAAGTGATAAGGATAATCCMTTATCTTATCTRCAGTTTAAGATCAGTTTGATCCTAATCAAATTAGGAGTTTCCTGATCCAAATMTTTATTTGGATTTGGACTCTTTAAGTGGATAAGACTTATCCTCTTATCCTTATCTGCTGATCCAAACCCAGATTTGCCCCTATTTAATTAATCTAATTAACCCAGTTCGAATTGGGCTTTAGGCCCATTAAGTTTATGTGCTCACTTAACCTCTCAACCTGCTGCCCAGTTGGCTCTCTTTGTATGGCGTGGGACCCAAACATTGATCTACACATCAGCCACATGGGTTTCAGTCCGTCCTTTGTTACAAGGCCTGGCTGAATTCACTAGAGGAGACAATGAACCCCTGAGTCTATCACCATGGGCTCTTAATGAGCCCAACATTTACACTAAATGGTCATTGGGTCCAGCCACCTTATGAAAACCAAGGACAATGGGTAGCTGCAAGATTAGCCCATCAGGTATTACCCTCAATGGTCTTACACTTAACCTCTTAGCACATAATGATCAAACACTGCCCGACAAGAGATGACGTCTCCCTCAGCTGCAAGGTACAGTGCTACACTCTCTAATCACATGGATCCCGAGAATTAAAACCATTTGCAAACATTTTGAAACCATATATATGTATATTTTTATATAAATATATTTTGCAAAAACAAATTTCATTGGCTGAAATCAATTGCCGCCAATTTAGGTTTCCATCAGAGAGAGTGCATCCCCGATCATTCACTTTGTCCGACAAAGGGGCTGATCCTGTGACTATGATCACCCACTCAGATGAATTCTCGGACTGTCCCAACATACCCAGGTTTTGACCCTCTCTAAGGATCTCACTGATTGGCATATCAAAGATAGCCCAATCCGACTCCCAGTGCAGTACCATAATCAAGTATAGGGGTCAGGTGTAACATTCTAGTTTTGTCCATCTATTTCCAAAGTCTCATCCTGACAGTTGAGACAAGCCACCCCAACCAACTTGGCGGTACATCAGTGTTAGACTTGGCAGGATAAATCTCCCCAGATTTATCTAACGGCTATGAAGATTCTAAACTAACACGAGTCTCACAAGTGTCTAATTTAAGGATATTACATAGAAACACACCACAATGACATGAATCAATTATGTACTTTATTCATTTACAATAATTGTCAAAAGGTACATCAATCTGATTGGAGCTAAGAGCATAACTGTTTAACAAGAATATGTATGCTATGCTCAATTTACTAATGAGGTGACATAGTGCTCTCAAGATTCACCAACAAAGAATATAAAAATACAGCCAGATAATGTAAGACCAAGTAAATTGACAAATACATTGATATAATTATTAATTCCTTCTTAAGTTCCCAGAAATGGAACAAAGAACTAGAATACCTTTGCTGAGCTAATGTCTGACTAAACTATCCTTCTCACTACAAGCAACATGCAACATCAATACTGAAGTTTCAGGACAACTTTTCAGGAACAAGGGAGTGGTGGTTAAAGAATTTTCTGGCCTTCTTGGAGAGGCAGAAATACTATCCTTGTTACATAGACTTAGAATTGGCTATTCCCCAAACATGATGTAGAAGGAGATTCGTAACTGGCAATAAGCCATTCAGTGAATAAATCATTAAATAGGTGAGGTGACTGTACATATTTGTACTTGTACTGTTACCAAACTAAATTAAGCCTAAAAGCACACCAATAAGCCATTCAGTTACACTTATTCAACTCTCTTATTTGCCTTAATGAATTGCTGTCCACCCATCCCTTGAGTTGATTCAATAACATGTTAGGCCATACATCTGTCAATGATTTTCTATTCATTCCATAGTGGGATCAGGCACTAAAGAAAGTAATCTCCCTGAGCATTTAGAAACCTAAAAAAGAAGACCTTAGGATTATACTTCATTTACTAATTTAAATTTCTTTATTTGACACCATATATCTGTTTCTTTTAGTTTGTTCTCTTTGGGAAAAAAGTGCTGTTACTGGATTTGAACAGATTGGATGGTCCAGACATTGAATTGGACCAGTCCAAATTGATCCAAAAACATTCCTTAGATTGGATTGGACCTGATCCATTTATAATGAACTCACATTGGATTGGATCGGATTGGACCAACTCTCCATTAATTCTAACAAGATTACAAAAGCATGGAATACAGTAGTTATTTGTCTGCAGAAAACACCCAGAGGGCATCTGCAAAAAGCCTCAATTCAATTCATGGAGACAATCTACAATACAAAAAGAATGAAAGCAACTTCTAGAGAAGCTCACTTACCTGGTCATCATTTTATAACGGTTTATATATTCTTCCCCATATCCATGCCTCTCCATAAGCTGCAAATAAAGCCCCATTGGTAGGCAATCAAATGTAGAATCTTTGAAGTAAAAAATTTATCTGGGAAGAACACTAGGTTACACACCAATAAGTCTCTGCAAAAGCTTTCTTTCATCAGTTAAGATGATTTCATCTTAATCCTGAACAACACATGAATTTTGAGACACATTAACAACAAACATAGAATTTCATCTTTTCTCCAATTTAAATTCCTCCCAATATCTACATCACAACTCACAACCATTTGAAAACCTAAATATTGATAAAGATAAACTACCTCTAAGACCTGACAAAGCCACCCAAAGGAATGCAGTTGGAAATTTCTCATGGTTACCTTTTCCTAAAAATAAGTTGGAAAATCTTATCAATCAAAAGAAAATATGATTTGGAAAACAGGATATTCTAAATACCCTTGCGAAGCTGGTTTGGATTCTAGGGAATTAAACACCATAGCTGACAGCTTAGCAAAATTTGGAGCCTAATTGGGCAAATATGTTTTCTGATGTTTCTCTACCTATGTAATACTGTTTCTGCCTTTCAAGGCCCTGTACTTTGTTAACTTATCTCGGTTAACCTTTAATATATTCTGTTAACCGGTAAGGTGACTGGTTCCATTTTTCCCCAAAACCGAGATTTCTCAAAAAACCATTAATTTTGATCAACAAACCGCTGACCCGGGCGATTAACCATTCGAATAGTTTTGATCAGTTTTTATTTTATTATTATTATTTTTTTATTTTTTTGTTAGAACGGGCCAACCGTTCGGATTGGTAACCAGACCCCTGACCGGTTTGATCTCCGAATCAGTTTTAAAAACCATGGTTTAAATTCTTTGAAGCAGTGTTCTGGCCTGCACCAGCCGGTACTATAAGAGCAGTGACTAAGATTGAGTTGCTTCAAAGACTAGATAACTATGGATCTCTCATCTATTTTATTTGTGATGATGCTTCAAGAGATTTCAAGGTCGTAGATATTGAATGCTTGGCACCTCTGAGATGGATCCAGATGGTGGACCTGATTCCGCACAGCAACATCTTGATGAGTTTAATTTCAGTGAAGTATTTGTGCATCAAATGATACATTCAATTGAATTTGTCCTTGGAGCAGTGTCAAATACTGCCTCTTATCTTCGTCTCTGGGCTCTGAGGTACTGGCATGCTTTGTTTCTCAAAGTTTCATTTTAAAACTTCTAATGTTTTACTAATTACCTTTTTGTTATAATAGTTTGGCCCATTCAGAGCTGTCAACTGTATTCTATGAGAAAGTCCTTCTAGCCTGGGGGTGAGCTCTGATTCTATCCAATGTTATACCAAAACTTTGTTTCTTTTTCAAAATTTTCCTATGTGTTGTTAGTTTGTTACTCGTTTGTTCTACATGTGAATTGGAAATTTCCGTTCAGTTACTCATAGAAAAATAAAGGACAACAATACAGTGTCCTTTCATATGATTTAGAATTAGTTGTTTAGCCTTGTCAATTGTTACTTTGACCAAGTTGGTGCAGTTGCTGTGTGGGGTAAGGAGAACTGTTGCATGCAAAACATAATAAACTTAGGGCCCGTTTGGCGTATCTTTCCACACAGTCTTTTGGCTGTTTATAAGCTGAGAAGACCGAAAATTGGTCTATTTCCGTTTGGCATGCGGAAGATCTAGCTGCCAAAAGCATGGATGTCAAAAAGACACGTGAAGCCCATTTTGGGCTGATTCGGGAAGCTCCATATGAAGCTTTCCATGTCTTTCGCGTTTTAATCTTGCACGGAAAGACCCGAAATGATGTACGCAAAGATGCACATCTGCCAAACGGTCTTAGGGCTGCCTAGATCTTATGTCAAAATTTCAATGCGTCTTTTGACTGTCAGAACTAGAAGATCTTCTCAAAAAGATTTGCCAAACGGGCTGTTAATTACTTAATATCCCAGTCCAACACGGTTTCAAGGTGGAAATGTGCTTGACAAGTTCCTAGGTTTCTACTGGTTCCCAGTTTAGCAAATAGTCTTGCTGGTTCTCTTGCTAGGGTTGGGGTCAAGTTAGCATCTTCTTTGGGGTGCACTAGGTCCTGGGTTTCTACAGTAAGCCTTCCCTAGATCGTTGTAGTAATACTTTCTTTTGATTTGTCCAACTGTTGAGCTATTTTATAGTTGAACTTTCTTACCTTAATTGAGGAGTTTTATACTTGTATATCTTACCAATAAAGTCTCTTGTCATAATAACACAGGAGATGGGAATTCAAAATTCTTTTACAATCTGGTGAATTGTAGAAGGAAAATGGGCTATCCATTTTCTACTGGATCTGTTGGAATGTTTCATAAGATGATAAGGGGCATCATAGACCGATGTGGGACGGGCTTCACCAGAAAATAGGAACTCTCTCACGGTACCTTGGCGTTCACGAATATGATGGATAAGCACTCACTGGATAGAAAGGTTTAACGTAAAATGGCTCTGAACCTTGTCTGACAGAGGCCAAAGGGAAAGCTCATACGGTGAGTGGATATGATCCTTCACAGAAAGGTGGTGGGGTTATGCAGCTGAAACAGTTGGCTCCATGCACCCTATGTCTCCGTCACTGAGATGGGAGGGAAATCTCAGAGATGAACAAATGGGAATGGAACATAGATTAAAAGCCGTATCTATGTAGATAACTTGTGGACTGATGTTTGCTCTTTTATTAGAAAATGACAAACAGACAATTTGCAAAGCTTCTTGATGACAACAAGCTTAAGGGCCCAAACTATGCCGACTGGTACCGTAACCTAATGCTGGTCTTAACCTTTGAAAAACTGGATAAGGTGGCCAAGAATCCTGCCCCAGAACGTCCGGGAGATAGGCCTTTTGAGGCACGGAGAAGGGACTATCAGGAATGGGAGGAGAAAAACTCCCTCGCCCGGTGTTACATCATTGCCTCACTGGACAATCCGATACAGAGGCAGTTCGATCAGATCGAGCTGGCCAAGGACATATTGGATAGTCTAAAGACAATGTACGAAGAGCAGAATCATTCTACTCGACAGAAGGTCTTAAAACAGTTCATGACCACACAGATGTCCAAGGGGCAGCAAGTTCATGACCATTGTCTTTGGATGATGGGTTACATCAATGAGCTTGAGGCTCTTGGATCCGGGCTGGATCACACGACCCAGATAGATGCCATTCTCAACTCTTTGCCTCCATCCTTTAATCCGTTCATAATGAACTACAATATGAATAAGCTGAATGTCAGCGTTCGGGAACTCAGCAATATGTTGCAGAGGGCGGAAGAATTGATTAAGAAGGATAAGCCCCTAGCCATGCTTGTTGAAACTGGAAAGAAGGGAAAGAAGTGGAGGGCAAAGAGAAAGCCCTAGAAGAAGGCCACCAAACCTAAGAAGCAGAGGAAAGACAAGGCATCGGATGCCTGTCATTTCTGCCATCAGGCCGACCACTGAAAGAGGAACTGTCCTCAATACCTGGAATCCAAGAAAGGTAATTTCGAATCTTGTGTCATAGAAACCAATTTGTTGGTATCTTCTGTGTCCTGGTGTATTGACTCCGGGGCTTCAACTCATGTGTGTAACTCACTGCAGGGGTTCAAGGTAAGCAGAAGGCTGAGTGAAGGACAGGTGACACTTTACTTGGGGACTTCTGTAAGTGTTGCAGCTGCGGCCATAGAAACCGTATAATTAATTTTTAGAGAAGGAACTATTGTACTCAAAGATTGTCTTTTTGTACAGAATTTAAGAAGAAATTTGATTTTTGTCTCAAAACTGTGTGCGGATGGATATTCTGTCTTCTTTAATAATACGATTACTATTAAAAGAAACAACAAATTCATCGCATATGGGGAACTGGAGAACGGTCTCTTTGTTCTACATCCTTCTCTAGAAACTAGCATAGCCAAAACTACATCGGCTGACACCCCAAGAAAAGAATCCGTGATACAGTTAATCCCACGTACCTGTGGCATTACCAACTTGGCCATATCTGTGTTGACCGTATGACAAGGCTAGTAAAGGATTGTCCTTTGGATTTTCTAACTGTAGAAGATCTTCCCACTTGTGAGCCTTGCCTTCAGGGTAAGATGACAAAACGGCCATTTAACGATAAGCCTGAAAGATGCACAGGCACGCTTGACCTTATACATACTGATGTATGTGGTCGTGTTAGGACTCGTAACCAACACGTGTATTTCATTACATTTACCGATGATTATTCTTGGTACGGTTATGTGTACCTAATGAGACACAAGTCCAAATCCTTTGAAAAGTTCAAGGAGTTCAGACAACAGGTCAAGAAACAGTTAGGGAGAGAAGTTAAGGCCCTTTGATTAGATCGAGGTGGCGAATATCTCTCTAACGGTGTTTCAGAGAGGAGGAATAGAACCTTATTGGATATGGTCTGGTCACTTCTCGTACACTCAGAGTTACCCACATCCTTTTGGGGTTACACATTAGAGACTGCGATATACGTGTTGAATCGGATTCCAACCAAATCGGTTCTGAATACTCCATACGAACTTTGGACCGGAAGGAAACCAAGTGTCAGACACTTAAAGATTTGGGGTTGTCCTGCGCATGTTAAAAGAACGAGTGTTGACAAGTTGGAACCTAAGACCAGCCGTTGCCTATTCATAGGTTACCCAAAAGGCTCTATGGGTTACCTGTTCTATGACCCAAGTGAGCAGAATGTGTTATACAGCCGAAATGCACAGTTCTTGGAGAATGATTATATCCTGGACACCAATCGTCAGGAAGTTGTTCTTGATGAGGAGAGCTCAGGACCAGTGGGAGGTGTCCCACAAGGTCCAAGTATTGACCAACCTAGAAGATCTACCCAGGTATCTAGGCCACCAGTTCGTTTTGGCTATGACCAGGATAGTTACCTGGTGGAAGCCATGATTAGTGAGGAGGATCCCATGACTTATGTGGAAGCTATGTTGGACATAGATTCCCTGAAGTGGGTAGATGCCATGAGAGCTGAGATGGACTCAATGGAGACCAATGGAGTCTGGACTCTAGTAGATCCGCCCCCGGGGTAAAAGCAATTGGTTGCAAATGGATCTATAAGAGGTTACGCAGTCTCACTAGATGCTATGTTCTCTTTTCTGTAACTCTTGCTCTGACATTGAGGATGTGTGTTAGAGGTTGCCGCCCCCTCCTTTTATAATCTTAAAGGGATCAGCTCCTAATCCCATTAGGAGTTGCTGATCCAAATCATATTTGGATCTAAATTCCCTTTAAGTGATAAGGGTAAACCCTTATCTTATCTGCAAATTAGATCAGCCCTCTCCTAATCTTATTAGGAGGTTTCCAGATCTAAATATCATTTAGATCTAGACTCTCTGAGTGGATAGGGTTAAGACCCTTTAACCCTATCCTATTTGCTAATCTAATCTCAGATCTGCCCCTTAAATAACTAATCAAATCAGCCGAATTCGAAATGGGCTTTAGGCCCATGAAGTCTTAATGCTCAGTATGCTTCCAAATTGCTGCCCAGTTGGGCTTCTTTGTATGGCATGGGACCAAAACATTGATCTACACATCAGCCACATGGGTTCAGCCCAGCCTTTGTTACAAGGCCTGGCCGAATACACTGTTATGGACAGTGCTCCCCTAAGCCCATCACATGGGCTCCTAATGGGCCCAACACTTACACTAAGTGGTCCCTAGGCCAAGCCACCTTATAAAAACCCAGGGATTGTGGGCAGATGCAAGATTAGCCCATCAGGTATTACCCTCAATGGTCTTACACTTAATTTCTCAGCCCATAATATTCAAACACTGCCTTACAAGAGAGGACCTCTCCCTCGGCTACAAGGAACAGTGTTGCACTCTCTACTCACATGGATTTAAGCATGGCCACGGGCGAAAAGGTTTCCTCATAATCGATGCCCTCTTTCTGAGTATACCTTTTCGCCACCAAATGACCTTTGTAGGTCTCAACTCCTTGCCTCCTCTTTCCTGCCGTCGCCATAACTGCCAATTCGATCTCCTCTTCAAGCCGGAATGATCTAGATCAGATCTTGATATCAGCCTTTGGGGAAAGGCTGATTTGAAGCTGTGCTCACAGCCTCCAATGAATTCTTGCGAAGGGTTCGGTTCTTTGGACAAACACTACTAATTCTGCTCCAACATTCACTGTGTCATCTTCAGTGGGAGCAGTCTTTGGAGTATTTTCTTTTGGTGTGAACACCTTCGTTGGGAGATACCATTTCTCCGTATCAGGTATATCCCTCTCCTGCTTCTGGTTTCTGATCTGGTTCGGTTTATGGTTCAAGATTGATCCTTGAAAATGCAGATTTTCTAAAA